GGCTACACCTAGATATGCACATATCTAGCTTAGTCTCTATATACAAGACATTTTAACCCTACTGACGTATAGGCGAACCAGTCCTCACTCACTCACTGCCCCCTGGTTTCACCTATATGGTCGAGCTATCTACAACCTAAGTCACTTTACCCGACCACTATTGCAGAACTCCTCCCCAGATCTAACCCATACAGATACACACCTTAAATTGCATGTACAATACCATATGTATACTGATTTCGATAATTGCTGAACAAACGGTTCGCAGCTGACGTTGAAGGCTGATCTCTACACCGTCTGATCTCGTCAATTACTGTGTTTTCCCTTTACCGTCAGGTCACATCAATTGGCGAGTATTCTCTTTGCCGTCAGATATCATCCCTCGCTGAGTAGCCCGCTTTGCCGTTGACAGTGATGGTTGCCCTCTTTGCCATTTGACTTCGTCTACTGCTGTTCATTTCGCTTCGCAGCTTGCGATGATGTCTGCCCCCCCTTTTACATTCGTCAGTGGGATCGATTGCTCGTCAACCGAAAGGAACTTGCGCCGTGCTGACTGTTTGAACGGGTCCACCTCCTCTCTCTCTCTCTTTTTCCGTATCTCTCTCTCTATCTCTTACGAACTCGCTGAACACAGCTAGCGCGACAACTGCTCGTGCACCCAGACGACCTCTCACGAGAGTAGTGGCCCCGAGCGCGCCTCGCGCACCCCCTTTCCGCTCGCCACAGTCAGATCACTCTCCCCTGCACTAACTCGTCCCTAGCGTCTTGACCCCAGCTGCATTGGGTTGCGATGATGACTGTGTATGCTAAGTTCACCGCCCCGCTCTCACTCTCCGACTGTACCATAACCTTCGATGACTGGGTACACCTTGTGCTCCAGGCTGATCTCCCCCTTGCTGGTCTGAGTCAATCACCCCGACCATGCTCAAACTCCACGTTCCCTAACCGGGCTGTCGGAACATTCAGACGTGCTAGTGCAAACGCCAACTAAGCGTGCTGCTTACGTCTGACACACTCTTCCCCTCCTTGCCTCCAACCCTGGTGTCTGAGATCAAACCCACGAAACCGCTGCGTATACCTGGCACGCGTCCCCTAACTACCTCCTCTGAACAAGCTGAAAGCCCATCTCGTCAGTGTGGTCTGAGGACGCCTAGTATCCTCGTCACTCCCGTTAACCAATTTTCACAGTGAGCGGGTCGCGTGCAACTTGTATGCATTCCTCCCCCAACTCTCTTCGTCCGAACGTCCCCCGCAACTCACTTGGGTCACTTCACTCTCAGTCCGCATTCAATGCTTGGCTCGTTCTCCCATAGCCAGTTGGTGAGGGGCAGCGCAAGCCTCGCTCGCCCGTTCGCCCTTCGCTCGTTGACTTCGCTAGACACCAACCGCTGCGAACACCTTGTGCGCTGCTCCCCTCTCCGTGCAAACGCATAACCGTCTCAGCCCAACCTTCCTCCTCATATGCTGCCGAGCACAGTCGTTCACCCCGGGCCACTTCGTCCCTGGCTGCTGCAACCGCCTGGGCGTGGACTCCTCGTACTTGCTGAGGTGGGTTCACCTTGCACATGTGACTGAGGGCCCCCCTTCCACTCAGTCCTACTCGCGACCTATATATTTGCGTGACAGCCGCAGCTTCCCTCTGCCTGTCACGCCACGTTGGCTTGGAATAGAAACTGGCCCCGTCTGTCCCAGCGGTACCAGCCATTAGACCCGCAAATAGTGAAAGTTCTGACCTGGGGACTAGCCTAGATTGTAGCCCATACACCGTTGCATCCGCGCTGTAGCTGCCCCATCCCAGCACGTCCCGATCCACCACTCGAAATTTCCACTCCGTGCGGCCATTGTGCTTCAAGAAAACCATGCCGTGTCAGTTGCTTACCGCGGTTTCCACCGCGGCTGTCCCGGGTCAGTTGTGACTTTACTGCACCTGTTCCAAGCTAGTGGACCCGAAGGTGTCCTGCCGTCCCTCAGATGTGCCTCTGTACCGTATCAGATAAGCTGAATTGCCATCATACTGTCTCGAACGTGAAATAAAGGTCGAGTCAATGCCGAGCTTGAAGTAAATCACCGTCACGGTGCCGGCCCTGAAATAAACCGTCCCAGTATGAGGTCGCACCTGCCCACACTAGATACCGTATGGCGCCGCCTTACCTGGGTAACGCCGATCCTGCCCCGGACCTGAAGTAAGCAGCCGTAACGGTGCTGGAGCTTAAATATGCCGCCATGGTAGTGCCGAACTTGAAATAAGTCACTGTGTCGACGCAGCACCTGAAGTAAATATCCGTGATGATTGATTGGAAAATAACCCACGGTGATAGTCCCGAACCTGTTATAGAATGCCGCAACGTTTCCGGACCTGAAAACAAACTGCTGCCAAGGTTCCAAACCTGAAATAGCTGTCGTAGTGGCCCCGGTCCTGAGAATAAATCACCGCAGTTGTCCCAAACCTGAAAATAAGTCACCGTAGTGAAACAGCTATCACCGGGCCCATACTGAACCTGAAGCACGTCAAACACCGTAGGACGTAGCCACTCCGTAACAACCCTCGTATCCGTACCGAACCAAACACCATACTGTCGACCCAAGGTAGCACCACCCCATGCTGTCTATGCGACTCCTGCTCTCAGAACATCCCAACTGCGGTAATGTTAGTAATCAAGCAAACCAGGGAAAGCGACTCAGGGAACCTCGACCATCGGCAGTAGTGAAAACTGTTAGAATCCGGGGAACATGATCAATCCGGGGTCAGAGCTGATGGCGGATAATCGAGGCAAAATTAGGCCAATCTCCCAATAGTCATGAGTTCCCGTCCCTTTCATCGTTTTTAATCATCCTTCCTTTTCCTTAATTCTATTGTCGAAAATAGTAAATTAACCGTAAGTTCCCCAAAATTAAATTCCGAAAAAGTTTAAATAAATGGCCGAATTCCTTTTGTTTCTTTTCTCTTTTACCTTTTTTAATATTTTTCTATGTTCTTAATTCCATTGCCGGAAACATAAAATAACAAGGGTATTCCCCCTAGAATTAAATGCCGTGAAAAATAAAGAAATTAAGGGATATTATGTTTTTCCCTTCTCCCCTACTGATCTTAATCCCTTTTCCCCATCTTTAATTATGGTACTAAAATAGACAAAAATTTGAGGCCTCATTTCGGCCCCGGTCGTATGCTGTAAAAACGTTGCGGCAAGGTCAGTTCCCGCGATGCCTCTCCGCGACAGGCCAATCCGGGTCTAACCCTCTAAACGACCGGAAATGACGGTCCCTAGATGCGCCGAGTGGGGCCACCCATCTCGCCATCTTTGAGGGTTACTTGTAAGGTTCAGTGCACCCCAAATCAGGGGTGCCCCGAGCTCCCCTAATTTCTGTTGCCTGGTCATACCAGAGTACCGTCAAATCACGGACTTGTCCCTGAGCCTAAGCCCCAAAGCCTCAAATTTCAGGCGGTGCACTGCTTGTGGCCGCATGACAGTTAGCCCGGACCACTTCTCGACGCCCCTGTCAAGCTCTATCCACTTACGTTAAACGAAGCGGACGAGCTTCAGGGTGATTGCCCGTAAAGGTCGCCCACGTCGGCGATTAATTGTCTTATGCTTCAGTTTGTTATGAGTCCTGGGACTAAGAAGACGCTTCTTGACTCCCCTTTTTCTTCGAAAATTTGGCCTGGATAGGATTCTCTTTCTCTTCTGACGTCGGCCCGTGATAGGTGTCGTCTCGTCAGCTCGTCTAAGACGTACTCTCCGTCTGGCTCTCCTGAGCACGAATAACCATTCCTTCCTCTTTCCCATCGCCAACCCTTTGACCTTTCTTTTCTAGACTCTTTTTCTCTTCTTGGAACTTTCCCCCGCCTCGAATCGTCTCGAGTGGGCTCCATCCTCCATTTTGGCCTTTCCTTTCCCTTTCGGGTCTGTCAGCGATAAGGTGGGTGCTGGTCTGGGTCTAAACAGTTTTAACCTAGCACCTGCCGCTGGGTCCTTCCACTTGGATCCGTCTAATTCTGCTATCATATGGGCACCCTAGTCAAGCGCCTCAACTACTCTGTAAGGTCTCATCCATCTGTTGGCGAGTTTTCCGGTCCAGGTCCTTTCCAGTGCTGCGTCGTAGAGAAGGACCATATCTCCTACGCTCACCCTCTCTTTCCTGATTCGCACGCCCTTGTCCCATCTCTCTTTACCTTTGTCCCTCTCCACTGCCAGACGATCTGCCGGTGTCATAAGATTGTCTTCCAATCCGTAGGCTATCTGTCTTGTCCGGGCAGCTATGAGTTCCTCTCTGGACATCTTCTCCGCCCAGTCGACGGTTGTCCAGCTGTCGACGTGAAACTTTATGGGGAGCGGACAATGCCGCCCGAACCACAAGGTGTATGGTGGGTATCCAGTGCTAGCCCGGACCGTGACGTTGTCCGCCCATATTGCGTATCAAAAATATCGTGGCCAATCACTGTCCTTACCTTTGCACCACTTGGATAGTGACGCTATTAGAGTTTGGTGTCCTCTTTCTACTGGAGAGTTCGACTGTGGGTGGTAGGCGGTGGCTATCGAAACTCTCGCCCCAGCTCTCTTGAACACACTCTGAACCTCGTCAGCTAGAAATTATGCCCCTTCATCCATCACTATCTTGCTGACACATCCATACCTAGATAAGTACTCTAGGACGAAAATTCTTCACTTCCCTAGCCGACTTACTCCTGATAGGTCTACCATTCACGAATCCAGTGAAGTCATCTCGTATGTTCACAACATAGTTCATATTGCCCACTCCTTTTGGCATCTTCACCAGATCAATGTGTACCTTCTCTCCTGGCCTGGTCGGATAGGATGGATGAAGTGACTCTTTGTATTTAACAAGGGCTCTCTTCTGGCACTCCTCGCAGGTTATACAGTATCTCTCGACGTCCTTATATTGTCTCTCCCACCAGTACAGTCTGCGTATCTTTTCGTAGGTTCCTTTGACTCCTCTTTGTCCTCACACTACCCCGTCGTGAAGCTCCGCAACTATTGGGGTCCGTCAGGCTAAAGTACAGTCTGTCTCTCTCCAGGATCACAGACTACTCGTAGGGGCATCCCCGATCCGACTGGTCTTCAGAATAGATGGCCCGCTCTAAGGCAGTACTGGGCCGCTTGTCTCCGGATATCTGAATCTTGACTCTCCTCTCCTGACAAATGTAGCCCGATCGTTCGGTATTTGCCCTCGTAAAGGTTAACCAGAAATCGATCGGCACGTCTCGGCTCCGCCATTGTCAGGGCTCCAGCTACTATTGGGCGCTCGGCCTCAAGAGGGATCCGTGAAAGCCCATCCGCCACGGCATTTTTAGTACCCAATATTCTCTCAACTGTGTAATCATAGAGTCGAATCCGTATTAACCATTGTGCGATGGTCGGGTCCGTCAGGCTAAAGTCCTTCTGGAGGACAGAGGCAACCGTCGTGGGATCTACTCTTAAGATGAACTGCCGTCCGTAGATATAGTGTCTGAACGTGTCTAGACACCGCAGAACAGCTAACATTTCCTTCTTGAATTGACTGTAGTTACGCTCAGCCGTATTAAGTGTCATACTCTCAAATCTTAACGGTCTTTCCTTCCCTTCAGCGTCCTTCTGAGACAGCAGCCCACCAACTGAACAAGGTCCAGCATCCGTGGATACTATGAAGGGTCTTCCGGCCTCATCATCAAAGAATGGCACGCCCAGTACGCGCCCTCCCTCCTTAAATTCATCTTTAAGCTCTTGCATAGGGAGTTCCTGAGAAGAATCCGAGTAGAAGTTCTCAGTCTTCCGAAGGAGTATCTTCAATGGCTCAGCCTTGTCCACATAGTTGCGTATGAAAATCCGCCAGTAACCGACCACTCCCAGAAATTGACGGACCTCGGTAGCGCTATGCAACGACGACGGCCAATTTAGGAGTTTGTCTAACTTTGCTGGATCTGCTCGGCGTCCTCTTGAGTCGCAGATAAAGCCTAAGATCTTAATAGTCGAGACGGCCCACCGGCTCTTTGTTCCGGTGACCGTCAAATTTGCATCGTCCAGCTGCTCAAGTATCGCGCAAACATCGGTTAGGTGCTGCTCGACGAATCTTCCAAGCTCTGGCACGACCTCTGTCTCATCTTTCTTTATTGGTCCTTTTATAGGAAAGTCATCCAAAAAAACTTCAACCTTGTCAGGAATAAAGTCCCTGAGGACGACCACCATGGCTCTCTGAAAAACGACTACCCCATTAGTCCATCCCATAGGGACGAACATCATCTGTATCAGTCCCAATGGTGTGTGCATAGCCGTGAGGTGCCTGTCCCCGGGATCAAGCGGTACCTACTCATAGCCTGAGAACAGATCACAGACCGAATAAATCGACCTGCCCGCGTCGCCTTCAACCAGTAAATCGGCGTGAGGCATGGAGCGTACGTCTCGAATCGTCACCGCGTTGACCTTCTGAAGGTCTTGGATCCACCTGATCTTGCCATTTGGCTTTCGTAGGAAGAACCATCGATTAGCATAAGCGCTGTCAGATGACTCTGCAACATGAGAAACCAAATTTTCTTTAAGGAAAGCGATAACCTCTTCCTTCTCCTTCTGGGCATATTTCCATCCTGCGTCATTCCATGGAACATGTGGAATCGTATAAATTCTTGCTGGCTTAGCGTATCGAGGGTCAACCTTACCTCGCTCTGCGTCGCTGAAAACTATAGCCTTATCGCACGTCCTTAGGATTTCTATCACACGTTCCCGCTCCTGTGGGGTCAGGTTTCCATCTCCGATGTCCATCCCGGCTATCCTCTCTTCCGTTAGGCGTTGCAGCTCCTTTTTCTTTCTTTCTTTGATTTCTTTTGCGATCTCTTCTCCCAATATCCCTTCCAGTACAGATCGCTCGTGGCCCACCGCCGCTGGCTTAACTTTTTGAGCTACTCGCTTGTGTCGCTTGGGTAGCCCCCCATAGGGGGCCGTGCCCTTAAAAAAGACACTGATACCACGCCACCAAATTCCTCATCTGCCTCCTTTGGATACGAGTTGCCATCCACAATCAGCCGACTCCTAAATCTTCTTCTGCGAACAGTGGTCCATACTTCTTCTCGCGAAATCGCACCGCGCGGCCGGAGATAGGTAACGACTTAATCTGATCACCGGGTCCCGCACCCACAGCAAGAGCTGCTCTGTTCCTCGGGTCTCGAGGTTCCACCGTCTCAATCATAACCCGCGTCCCATCTAACTTCTTAATGGATAATGTCTGGCTCCCGTCCGGTCGCTCTATCGTCACCGCATGCACGTGGCTCAACCACATCCGTCACAAGAGCAGGTCAGAGCTGCAGTTCTTGACTGCAAAGACAGGCAGGGTCACTCGTACCCCTTGGACCTCTATGGCTGCCTTGTGACAAACCCCGGTGGTCTGTTGCTTTCTCCCATCAGCCGTCTCTATCTCAAATAGGTATGACCTATCGAGGCCCAGTCCAACTTGCACTGCCAGATCCTCGTCTATAATGACAGCCTCACTGCCGTTATCGATCACCACATCTAGAACCGCTCCGTCGTTTAGGATCGCCTCCACGGTCCCACTACCAAGTATGTAAAACTTGTCTGGAGGCACACCTTCCATCCCATCAAGAAGGACTGTCGCCATGCGATCTGCTCTAGCAGTCACCTCCGATACTGCTACAGTAGGAGCATCCACCTTAGGGGTCATCTGAACCTCCTCTGATAGAGGTATGAGAGTCTTCCGCGTGATCATCTGTAACTCGTCGCGAGCCGGCTTGGATGCTGCGAGATACTCTAGAATAGAGCATTGCATGGGCTGCCAAAGGGCCCGTCTCAGTGGCTCGACCGTGTCAATCTCGTCCAGCGAACTCTTCATCAAGAACTTCTTCACTCCCTGCTTTCGCGGTGAAAGAATAACCTCCTCTCCTTCGATTCACTGTCCGTCCTTCTCCGCCATCACGTAATCCGTGTCAGTCTTTCTCGATATAGACCCTCTTGCCGACTTGGTAGCTGCCACCCTTATGGGTGTGGTCGCCATATCTCCTTCGAAAGTTATCTTGATGCTCTGGCTCCTAACCGGCTCCTTTCCTTTACTCGGCCTTACTCTCCTCGCTTCCACATTCTCCTTCATCGAAGGGAACATTGATACGTCTCCCACATCATCTGCCCACTTGACGTACTTGCGGTCATCAAGCACGACAAGTCCCTCATCTATTGCTCGCTTGAGATCCGGGCAGTCTCTCTTGATAGACGCAAGAGTTCCTGGGAGTGAATGGCCTGTCGTCTACGCTCCTAGAGATCGAACCCCTGGCCGCTCTGGGGTCAAGGGACTTCGGATACGGATCAGATGACGCGCCATATCCCCCTCTCTCATTCTGGTCGTGCAAATCATTGTGGCGGTCTCCTCTAGATCCTCCTTGCTCATATCGTCCTCGTGAATCATTCCGGCGGTCTCCAGAGTCGTATCGCCCGCGTGACTCATCGCATTGATCTCCTCGGTTGTACCACCCCCACGAATCGTCGCGTTGTTCTCTCTCGTTTCCCCCATGGTCATACCGTCCGCGCGAGCCATCTCGTCGCTCTCCGTCCCGATCTCCTCTCTCATATCTGCCACCCCTGTATCCATCTCGATCCGACCTCTCATATCTGTCGTCCCTATATCCATCTCGGTCCGATCTCTCATATCTGCCATCCCTGTATCCGTCTCGCCGGCCCTGATCTGACTCTCACTGGCCTCGAGAGTCGCCTCTACCCCCATTAGCCTCATAGCGAGGGCTACGCGAGTAATCATCCAGTCTCTTAGCCCTTCGGTCCCGGTCTATCTCATCATCCCTACGTCGCCATGTCTCATCGTCTCTCTCCCTTTCCCTCGCACGATAATCAATCAGTGTTCGAGGATTTCTATCCTCGACACTCCTCCAGGAATCGGTGTTCCTCCGATCCCAGCGAAGTGAATAAGGTCCTCCGGGTTTGTCCCGGTAAGTCGTGGCTCCTGTGGTGGTCACAATCTCTGTAACCTGTCTTGTCAATCCCTTTACCATGTCCCTTATCTCCTTCACTTCTTCGGCCACGACTTCATTCTTCTCCGACCAGGGATAGTCCTTGAAGTCAGGACACCTAGCAGTGACATACTCCTTATAGAGAGAGAAGTCACGTCTCCTCATTCCCCTGCATACCAAGTCCTTGTAGTCGTCTGCCTCTGCCTTTATCGCGAGCTTTAGGACTTGAGGGAAATCAAGTTAGTCGCGCGGGAGATCTATAAGTATACTCTTTTGTCTACCTTTGGACAGGTGTCCAATGAAGATAGTACAACGCTCGACCTCTGAGATCTTTCCCTTCTTCATCAGCACGTCAAAGATTTTATGAAAACGCATCCCAAATGCCCGTACACTCTCATCTTCAATTTGAGTCATAGTCTCAAGGTCCTTGATGGAGTACTTGTTATCCTCTAATTTATAAAGCTCAATGAGGTTCTTCTTATACGTAGTCCATTTCCCATCCTTCGGTCGGGTTTCCTTAACTTCCATGCCGAGACTTGGATCCACATTAAATAAGAAGTTCTCTATAATCTCTTCCTCCGACCACTGACTCCGGCTAGCATGAAGCTCCCACTTCTCCAGATATTTTGTGATACCATAGCCCCTGAAAGTAGGAGACTCCGAGGTCTTGTGCGTAATAATATAGCGATCCTTGGTCTCGTAAGGGAGCGGATGTGACTCCCCCGTTTGGGGGTCGAAGACACGCCGGGGCGGTGCTCTATCCCTGTCTCTGTCCCTCCAATAGGAATCTCGTGAACTCTCTCTCAAGTCGTCCCCGCGCGTATCCGCCCTGGTTTCCCAGTCTTTAAAGTCGTGTCGTCGCTTCTCTTCGAGCGCTCGAGGTCCCAGTCTTCAAAGTCCTCTCCGGCTCTGTCACGACCGGCTCGCCCATTACGTCGGGTTCTCCGTCATTGGTTTGGTCCACCCATTTCAGCGGTGCTCCTTGCCTAATTCGTTCCTTCAGATCCCTCAGTGCTCGGTCGGGCGATGTCCTATACTTCTCACCCGCTTCGCCCGTGGTCGGTTGTGGCCCCATCGTGTCAGGTTCCAAAGGCTACCCGAGGTTCTAGTTGGGCACTTACGCGAGGCGTTGCAGTCCGGCCTATGACAGTTGCAGCAGCCTGGACCTGTGGCAGAACTCGCAGCCCGGACCTGTGACAGAACACGCAGCCCGTACCTGTTCACTTGTCACGGTTCGCGCTCGTCTCCAGTCCTAGCTCTCGACTGCTCTGATAACCGCCACCAGTACTCCGTTCCCGTCGCGAACCTCGTGCTCTCCTTCTATCCCAAGAATCCCGGTGTCTATGTAAACCTCTCCCACGGGATCTGCCAACAAGGTCGCGCCTCTCCTGATCTGCACTATACCCATGACAGGATCTCTACTCCTGCTGCAGATCGCAGTCCCAAGCCTAACCAATGTCTCCCGACTAGCACCCCTCAAGAATCCTCGAGCATCTATCTCCATCCTCCTTGCTAGTTCATCTATTCCGTCCTGAATCGGGTAGCCCGCACAAGGAGGAAACTCCCTTCTACTGCCATCTAAAGCCGCCCTTCTGACCTTACTGACCTCCACTATCTTTCCAAGAGTTTCCAATTTCTATTTGTCCTCTTTTAACTCCCAGACAGCTATAAGGTCATCTGTCTAGTATCTGAGGGAGGTCAGTGCTATAGCCGCTCGTAATCTCATCGCCGAGAACTCCAATATATCATAGAATGTCTCAAAATCTTCCTCATCTCCACTATCCTCTATAGCCTCTAAAGTCTTTATCGATTCCCTCCAGTATCGGTCGTGAGCAACTAGCACCCTCAGTATTGCTCCATCTACTATAACTCTCTCTAGCTCCCCAACTCTTCTGGCTTCGCTTATCTTCAACCTCTCAGCCTCTCTGATCGTCTCGTACCATGCCCTTATCTGAGGCCGCCCTTCGAAAGGTGTTACTCGAAGTACGTATTTTATCCTTCGTCCTCCTTCCACTCCGATCCAAAGTCCTGTTCCCCTAGCCTCACGCAATGCACGGCGAACATACTCTGCCTCCTCAACTATGCACAAGCTGGTATGGAGCTGGAGCTCTGCGATCACTAACACCAACGGTCCGTCCAGTCTCCTTACCACATGCAATGAGTACCTGTCTGTCGTGTGTAGGGCAGTTTCGCTCATGTCCTGTTGCTATCTCCCTGCGTTACCTTGTCCTCCGTTGTCACGTCCTCTCCAGACTTCTCCCTAGCTCCTTCGCGCGATAGGTTCCTAGCCTTTACCCTTACTAGAAAGTCTGATCTCCACGCCTGGATAATCTCTCTATCCTCCCCGAACAAACTCTCTAACTCTTTCGTCACGAGCTCAATCCTACGCAGCTTGCCCTCATCCTCGCACGACCCGATCTCCCTTATCTTGTTCCCCAACTCCTTTACCTAGTTCAAGAGTGGTTCTTTAATGCGTTTTCTCACTCTTCCGACCGCCTCGCCTTCCTCTTCCATACTGTCCACATCTTTCTCCAGCGCATCCTCATACCCTCCCTCTAGCCTCCGCTACCGTCTCATCGTGGTAGTGCTCCACGAGCATATAACCATGTGACCATATCATCACATCATAGGAAATCGAGGTCTGGAAGGTCATCTGCGCCAGTACATCAGCTCTATACTCGCGGATCAGCTTCCTGGCTCGTAGTCGACACTCCCTCTCCGTCAAGTCCTCCTCTATGTATGCCGAAAGAAGTACCGTCATAGTGTACCCCGTGCTTACCAGTTGCTTATCTAAGCGCACCACAGTTGTCATTCTCCCTGACATTCCCTAAGCTGCGACGTCGAAGAGAAATCTCACATCCTCCAGCCCCACATAATCAATCTCCGCTCGTCTCCTGCAGTACCTAATTAGATCGACTGGCCTCAGACAGTCCACCCAGCAAGTAACGTCTATGATGTCGTCGAGTGTCTCTCTGCTGGGTGGCCCCCACCTCACACAAATGGCGTAGTATGCCTCCCTGAAACGGGGAGCTAAGCCCTCCCAAAGCGTGTAAAGTGTGTGGTCCACTGCTATACTCAGACGATCTATGCTCCCATAGGTCTGCCCTATTACGAACGCAGAAAGCCAACCCTCTTTCGGGTAGAGCGTCGGATGCGGAGGTCCGTATACCAAGCGACTCCAATACGACCTTCCTCCAGAGAGACTCGCCAGTTGCTGACTAACGATCACTCTGGCCAACAACTCGTTTCTCCACCAAGTCCTGCTAGCCCCTGCGAGTGTCAGTCCTATGTCTAAATCATGAGCTCTGTCCGTTATCAGATGTCCCACTCCTTCTAGGTCATGAATCTTTTCGGGTCGTCTATCCTTCAGTATCACCGTCCAAAGAAAAAGTCCCTCTGCCAGCCGAGTCCCAAGGTAACGTATCGGAACACAGCCTGTCTCGTCCAGCTTCACAGGGAGAGGAATATCATATCCAACAACTGTCTCTCTGGGTCTTACAAGTTTCCTCACGCTATAGGATTCGAACTCTCGTGAGAGAACATAAGCTAGCCAAGCCGCCGAGTCACTCCTCATCTCCACTTCGCCACTCGATTTATATCACCCTTCTCCCTTTGACGCACCCTATCTCACGATGTTGCTAACTCCTCAGACAACTCTCCCACTCAGGTTCAGTATGGTCGAGTACCTGTTGTGCACTCTCCTGTTAACTCCATGGAAGTAGATAGTAAACTCGACGTATCTCTGGCCTCTCCATATCTCCAGGGCATGCTCCGTCATGAGTCTGATCTGTCGTGCAACATTGTCCAATGCTTCATCTTCCCAGCCGCCCGTCCTATCTCGTCATAGGGAAAGAGTCACTCTCAGTGTGTCCGTGTCTGCCATCCCTTCCTGCTCTTACTGCCACTCTCGTCTTGCCTAAATTTATCTCCCGTGCCTACTTACCGATCCCCTACTTCCTTCTCTAAGCTACGCCCGGATATGCCTTGCCATTAATCATCTCGCGCATCTGGCATATCCTCATCTCCATCCTCATCTACCCCTTGACCCCATGGGATATCCTCTTGTCCCTCGGCCTGAAGGAGATGTCCCCAACCGTCCTCCTGCCATCCGTCTATATCGGCGCCAATGTCGCCCTGCCCTGCGTCTGGCACGTCTCTCCACGGTCTCACGTCCTCACCCCAAGGCTCTATGTCGCTATGATGTACCCAATCTCTATCATCGGCGACCCAACCGAGCTCTTCCCTATCTGGGTATATACTCTGATAATGCTCCTCCAACTCCCAGGTAGAGATGAGGGAAGCAAGTCTATCACCGGGAGTCTTGCTAAAGAGTCGTCCGACCCCCTCCAAACTATCTACTGGCCTCTAGACCTCCCTATCTAGTGCCAGCCAGAACTCCAAGGGCTGGCCCGGGGAAAAAGAGTCGGTATCTGCTGTAAGCGCTAGAGCACGTAGGAACTCAATGAGCTGTACCCCTCTCTCTCCAGTAAGAGGTCCGCCTACGAACTGTGCATAGGCAATCCAGTCTTGGTCCCTCTGCCCTCGAGCTAGTTCGTCGAGCTCTAGAGCCGCGAAATATCTCTCCACGACGCACCCCAAGCCCCAAAGCGGCTCCACTACAAAGACCGAAAATCTGGTGCGCAATCGGACTGTCGAGAAAGCAAACCCTCCTATCCGAAACGTAGTCCTCGTCTCCCTGATAGGCCCATACAGATCCTTAATCCCCTCTCATGCACTCTCTATCTTGCCCGTCAGGATCTCTCCCGCCTCTCTCTCATGCCGCCAGAACCCATGCACCAAGCCCTGAATATAG